TGTCAGCCTGCTCTCTCTCTCTGAGTCTGTCTCTGTTTGGCTTGTTGGTTCATTTTGTTCATTAGCTTCCACCTATGAGGGCGATCACGTGGTACTTGTCTTTCTCTGACTGGCTTATTATTTCACTCGGCATAATGCTCTCCAGGCCCCTCGCGCTGTCGCAAAGGGTGAGACTTCCTTCCCTTTGCAGCCGAGTGCTGCTTCGCTGTGTGAATGTCCCACAGCGTTTTCATCTGCGGACGGGCCCTGGGGCTGCTCCCAGATCCTGGCTGCTCCCGGATCCTGGCTGCTGTGACGGCTCTGCAGCCACTGGAGGTGGCGGTGGTCCTTGGGACAAACCTGAGAACCCGAGACCTCAGAGAGGAACCCTGCGGCGTGGGAAGCGATCCAGGACCTCTGAGGTGTCCCCGAGCTTCCTCAGACGGAGGCCACGGACATCACAAGGCCTTTTCAGGTGGAGGGACACGCCACAGGTAATATTCCCTGATGACAGCACGGCTTCACGCAGCACTGAAAGCCCGAACGGACTAAAGGTCTATTTTAAGATGCTCTCTGGTAGACAGAGGCCTTGTGGCCTTTGAATTAATTATGTGAAAAGAAGGCACCCGGCTGGTGTTGCTCAGTGGTTGAGGTTGACCTATGAACCAGGCGGTCACGGTTCAGTTCCTGGTCAGGGCACATACTCGAGTTGCAGGCTCGATTCCCAGTAGGGGGCGTGCAGGAGGCAGCCCATCGATGAGTCTCTCATTATTGGTGTTTTTATCTCTCTCTCCCTCTCCCTTCTTCTCTCTGAAAACCAATAAAAACATATTTAAAATACCTCTGCTCTTTACAAAAGTGAAAGGAGCACCATATAGAACAAAGGGGCTCAGAGCTGTCCATTGTTACCCGTTTACAGATGAAACCCAGTCCTGACTGATGTCATGGTCACAGGTCTCTAAACGATGCCTCCAGGAATGTTTTAGACTTTATTGCCTCTTTATACTTTATTGTCCCAAAGGCTGGTGTTTGGTGAGCAGTAGAGTTCGTGTGAGCCACATCGAGGATCATCACTCCACACTCGGCTTCTATTTTAGGCGTGTGACTCAGGGAGATGCATTTGCTTCGCGTTGGGATCTGACTTCATATCCTGGACCCCGAGCTCCCCCTCCAGGGATGTAATTACTGTGCTTACATCTCAGACTGGCTTCATCAGCGTTTGCAAAGCAGAGGACCAGCTAGAAAACCGTGACCACAAAAACCGCCTGAAGACCAGAACAGCTCGTAAAATCTCCACATTCCTGGCCTGGCTACAGACTCAAAGGGTGACTCAGAACCACACCAACCCCCACTGCGCGGGGACAGGCGCAGAGCGAGCCCTGAGTGCTCCGAGGGGAAGGGTCGCTGTGTGGAAAGACGCTGTCTCCAGGCATTTCTCCATGAACTGCAGCGAGCGAATGGCAAATCAGGAATCAGCAGAGATGCAACAGCATGGATGGAACTGGAGAGCATTATGCTAAGTGAAATAAGCCAGGCAGTGAAAGAAAAATACCACATGATCTCACTCATTTATGGAAAATAAAGAACATTATAATCTAATGAACAAAAAGATAGATACAGAGGCAGAGAAGCGTGGAACAGACTGTCAAATTACAGTGGGAAGTCTGGGGAGTGTTGGGGGTGGGGTAAGAGATCAATCAAAGGACTTATAAGCATGTATATAAGCATAACCAATGGACACAAGACACTGGGGGTCGGGTGGGGTAAGGGCATGCGCTGGTGGGTAGGGGAGGCCAGGGGAAGGTCAATTGGGGGAAAAAAGGAGACATATGTACTACTATTTGTAATACTTTAAACAAGAAAAAAAATTAAAAAAATAAAACATTGAATAAAAAAAAAAAAGAATCAGCAGAGAAAGCTGTGTTGGGTGTGCATGTGGCCGCCGAGATCCTGGGTGGGACTCGCCAATACACAGACACAAGGTCACGTGCCCTAACACGGCCTGCAGCTGTCTGACCCCAGCTCCTGCTCGGCTCCTGCTCGCTTTGCTTCTCCACACGAGCCCATCTGGGAAGGACTGGAGGGCAGGGGAAGCACTACTATTTGTAATACTTTAAACAAGAAAAAAAATTTAAAAAATAAAACATTGAATAAAAAAACAAAACATCAGCAGAGAAAGCTGTGTTGGGTGTGCGTGTGGCCGCCAAGATCCTGGGTGGGACTCGCCAATACACAGACACAGGTTCACGTGCCCTAACACGGCCGCAGCTCTCCGACCCCGGCTCCTGCTCGCTTTGCTTCTCCACACGAGCACATCTGGGAAGGACGGGAGGGCAGGGGAAGCAGCCACTAAATTCTGCATCCCCAGCGGGCCCTCCTCCCTCCTCCCTCCTCCTGGGGGCAAGCTTGTTTGTAAGTAAATGATTGACCATAGCAGCTCCTCTTCACGGAACCCCCTCCAGCCCTCGGGCTGACACCTATGAGTGGTTCCCTCCCCTTTTGGTCATGCTAACAGCTGACAGTTGAGTCTGTCACGTGGGAATGCTTTGACTGCCCACAAAGGAAGACAGTGGCAAAGCTAGTTGTCGAGGAAAAATGGGTTTGCTGTCGTCTATATTTTCCCACAGGCCCTTGGCATCAAAGCCCGCAAGTAACTCGCTCACGCTGTTGCCCGATGTCGGAATGGCTGTGATGGCTGGATGCAGAGCCAACAGGGAGCTCAGGGAGGGAGTCGCTGACTCCTCCTGTGGTTCCTTTTCAGAGCCTCTGCCTGGCCACATTCAGTCTCGGTCATTTCTCTCCGAAGCTGGAAGCACAGAGCACATGCAGCCACAGGCACCGCAGCAAGAAGCCACCTTCCCTCTCGGTAGTGTCATCGCATGCACGTTACTTACAAACACAGCTCTGACTGCTAGGTCAGCAGGAAAGAAAGTCCCAGCTACTCAGAGGCGACGACAAGGAATCTGTCTGGAAATGCGAGTCCTCCCGCGGCCTCCCCCCGCGCGGGCCCTGCCAGGCTGCACACCCACCGGAGCCGCTGCCCAGCATTGGGTGGTGACCCGAGCAGCAGGCGGCTCCAGGCCCGACTCCCTCCGGTGCCCCAGGGTTAGTAACTGAGCCACCGAACCCAAGCTGGAGAGAGAGCAGCACGGGGCGCGCACTGAGAGGCTCTTACTGAAGTTGATGTCCTTATTTGGCCGCTGTGACCCTGGGGGCCGGCCCGTCTCCAGCAGGGCGGCCGGCGCGCTCCCCGAGACAAACATCCGAGCTGAGCAGGCTGCCGCCACAGCCCGGCTCGCACAGGCCTCTGCCCAGCAGTGCAGGGGGCAGGCCAAGGTGACATTGGAACTCGTGGTGGCAGGACTGCGGGCGCTGCTGGGAGCTACCGCGGAGGCGAGGGGAGGAGTGTGTGGCCGCACACCCACCAGGGCAGGCAATGGAAGCACTTGTCTCACCACCGTCCTTTGCAAAGGCTGAGCTCTGAGCGCTCTCTCTCTCTCTCTCTCTCTCTCTCTCACACACACACACACACACACACACACACACACACACACACACGCACACACACGTCAAGCAGCTCTGCCCCCTGCTGGACACGGGAGGAGCCGCAGTGAGAGATCAGCAAGCCCAAAGTCTACCTGCCCAGCAGGGGCTAAGGGCTGGGAGGTAACAGGATACGGTCTTTAGAGTCCGACCTCCCATTGCTGGGCACAGACAGACACAGGACGTCCCTGGAACACACATTAGGAACGTTTGCATCACAAAATTTCTGGTGCATCTACATTCAGTTTGGACCCCCCTCTACCTTCGGGGTAAAGGAATGGCGTTTTCTTTCTTTTTTAAAAAAAAATATTTTTATTGATTTCAGAGAGGAAGGAAGAGGGAGAGAAACTTCAATGAGAAAGAATCATTGATCGGCTGCCTCCTGCACGCCCCCTACTGGGATCAAGCCTGCAACCTGGGCATGTGCCCTTGACTGGAATCAAACCTGGGACCCTTGTCCGAAGGCCAATGCTCTATCCACTGAGCCACACCGGCCAGAGGAGGATGGCATTTCCTTAAGTGTCATCTATACCTAGGATCAATTCAAAAGCACACTTTTATATGAAAAAGTGATGTCTGTCCAATTTCTTAACAAGTGAAAATGCTTAACTATCGTGCTGTTTTAACACCAATCTCCAAGCGACCTGCTCTGCCTCAAGCCCTCGTCCTTTGAAGAGATGGTGGAGGATCTGTGGAGCACTGGCTGTTTGCTGGCTTCCGGACTTGACCCTTCCCGCCCCCCCCCCCAAGGCATTACCCTGCCTCGGGACCTGACACCCCGCCCTGGAGGAGATGGAGACCAAGCAGTTCCTCAGCCCTAGTCGGGGCTCCACCAGGGGAGAGGGTGAGCTTCATAGGCTGTGACTGGTCAGACGTCTGGAGAACTGAGTTCAAAGCAAGACACTGACTCGTTTTCGGCACCTGCAGATCCAAGGGCAGGTGCCACTATGCAAGGTCACTCGGGCAGTTTCATGTACAGCCCAGTGCACAAAGCACGCTCACTCCTTCCGACGCGAAGAACCACCCCAGCAGCCACACAGCCAGTCCTCAGTCAGGAGCCGAATCCGTGCAATTTCATGTTTCCCTCCTCCCTCCCTCCCCCTCCAACCTCGTCATTTTGCCCTCTGCATGTACCTCAGGTCCATAAACAATGTTTCCTCGAATAGAAAAGAAGCACGTTAGTGTGAAAAGAACTTTATTTGGGGATGGAGAGCGCAGAGCCTCGCAACAGGCGCAGTTAGTGTCACGGTCACAGGTGCTGGCCCCACAGCTGGGCCGACTTCCCTTCGTGGGTCCCAGTGATCAGGCAAAAGCATCAGCTTCCACTTACAGTTAAAAACACAGCAGCTTTTCCAGAAAGACTAGCTGCCAAAATTGTCTCCAGAACTCATTTGTCTAAGATCTGAAATGCCTTGTAATCTGTATCATTAAATCAATGTCTGACACACCACAGTATGTAGAGTTCATCTTGGCTAACAGTTTTCTTATGAAATACCCTATTTTTGCTTCCTCATAAATAGACAAAAATGACCAAACATCACAAACACCTTCTTCATGGTTTACTGATATTTACAGAGAAAAGTCCATAATCAGAACTCACAGTTGCAATCTATACATTAAATTATAAGTAATTGAACCCCTGCTACAAAAGCTATCTATGTTGACCCACGATAAAAACTGTCTACAGAGTTTAAATACATGAGAAATTACAAAAGAAGGAACTGGGGACCAGGAAGTGGTCTTCGCGTGTGAATCTAGAAGAACTCTCCCACATCTGCTCTCTTGTCGCGACATTTGCTCCGAGCTTTTGTTCGGGCTTTGAAGGCTGCGGAATTATATAAATGCTGGAATGGAGACAGGAAAACACGCGTGACCCACAGGCTTAGAAAGGCTTACAAAATATTAAAAAATAAGAGAGAAATGAACTAATTTGACCCTATAAATATTTTATGTTTATAAAACACACACATACAAAAAGAACAAGGGGGAAATCAACACATATAATAGTGGCTATCTATATTAAGAAAATTCCAGTGAAAAGAGTAAAAAGGAAAAAAAGTGCACCAACACTGAATCTGATCAAGGAAAAGTCGAATCATGAATGTGTAAAAAAATTCCAACCATGCCGTCAATCACAAAACATATGACGAAGTTCCATTTTAGTACCAAGTAGACTGACAGGTTCTTTACACCATGAAACCCCTGCTGTGGAGTGTGTGGCAGCTCCGTGCTCTGCCCGGCTGGACGCCACTCCAAATGGTAGAGGAACTGGAAGGTAACTGGCAATGGGGTCAGAGCCATGCCCAGCCCTGGGCTCCCATACAAGGACTTGCTCCAAAAATAATGCAAAAGGAAAAAGTATGTGAAAATATTAGTATTTATTAAAAACCCAACCACCAATGATGTGGTCATAAAAAATGATTTAAAATTCTAAAAAAATATATAATTAAGCATGTCACACCTATTAGGATGGCTTATTTATTTATATATTTTCATTGATTTCAGAGAAAAAGGGAGTGGGAGTAGGATAGCTTACTTGAGAGAGAGAGAGAGAGAGAGCACGGCTGCTGTGGCTCAGTGTTTGAGCGTCAACCTATGAACCAGGTGGTCATGGACACAAGTCTGGGTTGCAGGCTCGATCCCTAGTGTGGGGTGTGCAGGAGGCAGCCGATCCATGATTCTCTCTCACCATTGATGTTTTTATCTCTCTCTCTCCCTCTCCCTTCCTCTCTGAAATCAATAAAAATGTATTTTAAAAAAGTATTAAAAAATGTCACCAAGGGTTACATTATTTAAAAAAAGAGAGAGAGAATCACAGTGCTGGTCAGGGTGCAGGGATAGACCTCATATATTGCCGTGAGAATGCAAAAGGGGCAGCTGCTATAGAAAAGCAGGGCCATTTCTTAAAAAGTTAAACATAGAATTACCATATGGCCCAGCACTCCCACGCCTAAGCATAGACCTGAACGCACCGAGAACAGGTGCTCTAACAAACCTACACAATGT